GGGGGGGGGGGGGGGGGGGGGTATCCCGTACAGGTAGTGCGTAAGCTTGGGCAGACGACGGAAACACGCACCAGCGGAGGGTACACCACAACTTGCATACAGCAGTGTGCCAACGGGAGGTACATGATGTTTGTTGTCACACCACAAGCAGGGAGAGACAGATCAGACAGAGGGGGAGAGAGCGTAATGGACTTCGAAGGCAAACACAAATGGCAGAAAGAAACGAGCGCCAGACAGCACGGAAATACCACCAGAAAAAAACAAAACTAAAAGGGAGCTCCTGGTGCGGCAAACCACAAGTGAGCAGCTCGCATTTCAAGAAGTTGAACATATTCATACAGATAAGCCCCAGAGGCGGTCGACCATACACACACACCTCCTCGTGCCCCTTGAAGCACCGCAGCGAGTCTCCCAGGGCGTGGGCCTCTCCGTAGTCCACAAACAGCGCGCCCCCTCTGCCATGTCAGCCCAAGCGCCCACGGCAAGCACAAGCACCAACAAACGTGGGAGTGTCGCGTGCTATTGTTGTAGAGTAGCCGCGGTGAGACCGAAATATTTAGTGTTCTTCTGTACTTTTCAGCTCTTATCTCGAATTAGAACGCACCATTCATCCCTTCTCGACTGCACCATACGCATCCGCGGCGCAGATATGAGGATGAAAAAAAGCTAGGTCGACAAATGTACTGGTGTTTGAGCATACTCCACATGTTTCGCCTGACCCCCGGGGCGCAAGCTGTCGGGAAAGGGCGTAGCGACGAGCTCCAAACGATGTCCGATCCCTGTTCTCTCTCTCTCTCTTTCTCTGTCTCTCTTTCTGCTGGACCGCACAACACCTACGATTCTGCTTCGTACTGCGGAACCCCTTTGCCTTCCCGTACCTGTCTTGGGCGATTCTCTCGGCCACCTCCTTAACGAGCAAGATGCTCTCCCCGGACACCTCCAGACGGTCCCCGACCGACTCCCCCAGCGGCCCCTTCTTCGTCGATGATGAGGATGCTCCCCCGCCCCCTCTTCGACTCGACGGTTTCCCCCCTCCCAAACCGCCGATAACCATCTTGGCGTCCTGAGCCTTTTTCGGATTGGTGAGGAAGGTTTGCACCGCGGTGGTCTCTTGGGCGGAAAGAACGAACCTAACATATCGCGGTGGGGGGGGGGAGTTCGTCGGGAAGGAGGCGGCGGCGTTCTCACGATTAGTGTCGAAAAGGACGAGCACAACAGTAGTTGCTGCATTGGTGAGGTGAGCCTGACGAGTAGAGCATCTGCCGTGTAGGGGGAACACAAGCGATAGGTGGGACGCACATGGGACCTCGTGCGCGCAGGGGGGGGGGGCTTGCGGTCTTCGCCGAAACTACTGCTGTGCATATGCTTTCGGAAGTGGAATCAAAAGAAGCTCCAGCAAGAGTGCCGGAAGAAGTCTTCCTTCCCGGTCTTACTCACTGCCACACACACCCTACCCCATACCCCTCCCCGTCGTCGTCATCGCCTCTCTCTCTCTCTCTCTCTCTCTCTCTCTCTCTCTCTCTCTCCTCCTTCACCTAAAGTCAGCTTCCTTCGCATCCTGTTTTCGCGATTTCCCCCCTCCACCCTCAACCGCGGATTCGTCTCCGTCCTGGCTGCCACCCCCCCCCTCGGGCCCGTCGACGCTCGCGCCTCCGGCGCCGGGAACGTTAATGTCAACGAGTCTCTCCCTCCAGCCTTTCTCTGTGTACTGGAACTGGTGCACAGGAAGGGCGTCCAAAAACTCCTGCGCTATAAAGAGAGTGGGCTGTCCCTTCGGCACCTGGAGAAAATCAGTTACAAGATAATTTTCGAAATAATTGCGTGGATGAGTTTGGTGTTGGTTGACATGTTTCATGGCGCCAACCCTAACACTAACTGGCGTGTGTTGCGTGCGTGTGAGCACGCAGCAAGGTTGGAAACAGGGGGTGGAGGGGGGGGGGGGGNGGGGGGGGGGGGGGGGGGGGGGGGGGGGGGGGGGGGGGGGGGGGACGAGTGCTACCGCAATTGCCCAGCAGCCGCTACCGCGCAGCTTCCACACCATCACACCCACCGCATGCTTGTCCGGAAGAAACCCCAGACGAAGCACAACAACCCCAAAGCATCACCATCAACACGGCACACATTCTCGCGGCGTCAAGACATATCACAGAGGCACCCCAACGCACCACGCGGCCGAGCCCACACATGCGCTCACCTGCTCAATATTGGTGTGCCACACCGCCTCACCGCCCCCCGGCAGCTGCATCGGGCTCCCTTCCACTTCTTTCGCTCCGCCTCCGCCGCCCCCCCCGCGGGACGCGGAATAAGAAGCGGTGGGGGCAAACGTCGCGCCCAAGGCCTTGACCTGTAACGCCCTCAAGTTGTCGCTGGTTTCCACCATGTGGAGCGACAAGGCCTTCCTGAAGTCCGGGAAACTATTGGCGGGCGGGCGGACGGGCGTGGCGGCGGCAGGGGGGGGTGGGCGAAAGGTTGGTGGGGTGAGAGAACGCGGGATGCGGGTACATGCTGTCTTTTTATCTTTTTGCTGGTGGTGGGCCGAACGAACGCGTCGAATAGGTCCGCACAAGGAGAGGCTTTCGCACGAGGGCCGTGTATCTCTTGCCACGGGACGACAAGACTCACGCATGGGGGACCGATCCCGTGGTGATGTGTCAGGACGGGGGCGCCTTTGTTTCCTTCAAAGAAGCACCAGCACAGCTGGACTCCACACGAAAATCAATACACAAACGGTTCTGCTACACGACGAGGCGTTATTTTGTTTCTCTGCGGATGCCGTGCACGGCATGCATGCGCCTTGTTCCGAACGAAAGAAAAAACACGGGACCGCCAGAGGGTTGATTTTTTGGACCTTTGTGGCACAAGAAGGACAGATATCACGCCAGGTATTGGAGCAGTCACTGAGTACACGTGTCTTGCTCGTGTTCTTGAGTCGGCCCCTTCTTCTGCGGTCGCCGCCGCTCGTAGCAAGCAACACTGCTGTCTACCCATAATCAGTTTTCATTGCCTCAACTACTGCTGAACTGCTGTAGCCAAAGCTAGGGCTGTCCCGTTGGATGATTGTCCACAAAGACATGTATTTTGTGTCCAGTATTGTTCTCGTGCGAGATGATGCTGCAATAGCAATTGATTCACCTGCTGACCGTCCTGAGGATGTCGGCCATGAGGGTCCCCTTGCCGGGGCCGAGCTCAACCAGCCGAAACTCCTCGGGGGAGCCCATCTCCTTCCAGCTAGCCACGCACCAAATCCCGATCATCTCTCCAAAGGTCTGCCATCGGAGACAGTTACAAGTGGCCCCCAACGAATCGTGAAATGGTGGGGTTTGCACGCGGGACCCCGTCCTTATTTCTTGCGCCAATAGTCTAATCGCGAAGAGATGGATTTGCTGGAAGGAGCCTTTCGTATCGCATCGCAGTAGAGTGACCATGATATCGTATGACAGCAGACAGGCAGGTGCTGCAGCAGGGTATGTTCGTAGATGGCAGGCTTCGCACGGTCTATTTCACACGTGCCAGACAGCGAGTGTGAGGTCGGCGCTTGAACAGCAGCGGCTAGCGAGCAGCATACGAGTGTAGGGTTTCGGGACTGGAGTTTGTTTTGTGTTTGTTTTTGTTTTTCTCCCATCATTGGACTCTGTCGTCTGCCCCTCTGGCCCCTATCCTCCACTTCTACTAGCTAGACGACCCAACCGGGGTCACATAGGAGGGGGGGGTTGGACCCCCTCCTGCGGTTCGTGCCTGAGGTATTTTTATCGCGAGAAGGGTACAGCAATCCCTTCCCTCGCGACTTACGAAGTCGATTATGGTTTACTAACAAACGAGCTTTGCAGCGCGTCGCTTTCATCCTAGACCGGGATTTATTTAGAGAGAAAAAAATCACTCTGCCGGGACTCGAACCCATGACCTGGCCCTTAGCAGGCTGCGCGGCTACCCACTAGACCACCAGGGCGACCGGCGTATCGCTCGGGGACACAACGAACCCCTTGGAGCCTGGAGTTCACCCACAAGCACGTACAACCGCATAGATCCAACGGGGAGGGCACCCGGCTTTGGTGGCTAGGTGCTGCTACCGGGCTGCTGCTGCTGCTGCTGCTACTGCAGCGGCTGTACCTGTCTTACACTACAGCAGTAGTGCTGTATCGTGCCCCTTATTGCCCGTCCGCGCGCGACATTCGAGCAACGTAAACATGCGTGCACATTGAACACGGCCTAGCAAGGCCGTCCGCGATCACTATTGTCGCCACAGCAGTAGTGGTTCAGAGGTGCGCGATCCCTTGTACAACATCATTGCGGCAGGGTCAGCGGCGGCACCAAGACAAACCTGGGCCTGGAGAGGCAAGCGGAGCTGGTACATCCCACACACACGTGTACTGCTGAATGACTTAAATAGGAGACACGCGAGACATTGAAAGTCATATGTAGGAGGAGGTCGAGGTTTGCTGGCCTCTTTCTAATGGGGTTGATCACGCCCACAACCATAGACAGCAGTATGGAAACAATATGACCCAGGCAGAAAATGGATCTACTGCTCCTACCCGAGCGCATCTTTTGGTTCGAGTAGCAAACAACGCAGCAGTCCAACCGGCAGTTGGAGCGTTTGCGCTGACTCTTTCTCTGACAGTCTCGTGAACTAAAGTTACAGCCTATTACTGTCTTCACCTGGCTAATCTCAGGCGCCGTGATGAAGTCCCCGCCGCGGCCGATCTTTTCCTCCTGCCGCATGTAGTAGCCGTACTTGGGGTGCTGCAGGGCGTAGATCATGTACTCCGGCACCGTCATGGGCCCGTTCAGGAAAATCATTTGTTCCAGCTCCTTCGCCAGCCCTGTCAGCGGCGGCCTGTCATCCTTCTCGTGGGTCATGCGGGTGGGCATCAGCCCTGACCGATTGACGAGTATCTCGGTGGCGGCCCGTTGCTGCTTGGGGTTGCCGAGCGGCGGTGGTGTGGGTGTCGGAGCTCTGGAGAGCTCCGCTGCTATCTCCCTCTCGCGATCATCCGATGCTGAAGAAGCACACCTCGGGCTGGCAGCAGCGGTGGTACTGGGCACGACCACGGCACGCAGCGGGTTTCCCAGCTGATTGTCGGCTATTCTTCGGGTCAGGCAGTGCAATCGTTGGCGGGTGCCCCCTATGCGCGTTGCTAAGGCGTGCATGGTCCCTGCGCTGTGGTGTACTCTGTCATGTACTGCTGGTCAACAACTTCACTTGACTTGCTTGCTTGTAGGGGGCACGGCAAACAATCAGTGACATGGGGGGTGGGGGCACGATATTGCAATCGTGCATGAACGGTGAACCATATCCGGCTGTCTTGTGCATGTGTGTATCTTGCCTCGAGCCTTGCTTTCCTCGACGACAGAGTCCCCACGTTACGTGTCTGAACTCTACCCTGCAAAAGAAGCACCTACTCTACAACCGAGGTTTGTGACAAAGTAGTGGTGGTGTTGGTCGTCTAAGTCATGAAACGCAACTCTGCTCTTCGGGTGTACAGCAGAATGAGTGCACGTACGTGGACTGCATGTATGTACGTACAGCAGCGGTACCTGAGGGAGGTTGCCAACTCCTGTCCTTCGCGTGCCGCAAATAGTCAAACTAGAGTTCAAGGTCGCGCCTTTTGGCCAACGGCCTTCTGTACAACTACATCCATTGTATTATATATATTTAGTGTTTTTCTCGACGGCAAGTGATTGTCCCCGGCTTCGTAGGGGTGCGAATGTAATGGCGTATCCAGACCCCCTTCTACAACGGCACACCGTCCTTCTTGCTCGCCGTAGATATCTGTCCGAACGAGCCCGTCGACTCCGAAAGTCCGCCAATGTGAAGGTGTGTTTGCTTCCTCCTGAGCGCTACACTACAGCAGCAGGTCTAGCGATACTGTTCTGAAGTACACAGAAGAAGCACACATCATCACAAGGGTGGTCCTTGCTCCGGGGAGGCCCACAGCACCTGGACATCCCGCAGCACCGCGCTGCACTCCGATATATGCTACATAGGTCATCGGGTTGTTGGCAAAAAAGAGGGTAGAAAGTAGGACAAACTGAACCTGGGAATCTTCTCGTTCGAAGCAAACTGTCAACTCGGACCCCCCCCAACTAGCAGGTATTACAGCCATAATGACCAGTTGTAGGCAACACTCGGGACTCGAGATACCGCGATTTCTGGTGCGAGTAGAGTTGGATGCGACAAGTAGTTGACACCGCTTCTCGAGCCGAGGTGCTCATGGCATGACCATCGTGAAGCCATCAACTCAAACTGAGGAGTATCAACATAGCCCGCTCTACCGACAAGTACGCATGTGACGGACATTGCTCTCTCGGCTCCACCCTTCTACACCTCCTGGCCCGTTTACGTTATGCCTAGACAATTAGCCCCGCTCCCGAGCTAAATTTAGACGCAAACGTAACCATCTCCGCCGAGCAGAAGGCGTGCAGGATCGACGGCCAAGATGTCGGTGTACGAATTCTTGTCTACGAGCCTAAGGTGCATCACCCCTGTGAGTAACATGCTTTCCTCAACAATATGCCCCTGACGTACAACCAACAATCCGCAAAATAATGTCATGCCCAACCAACAACTGGACCGAATAGGCCTTACCGTACAGAGGTATGTTTCAAGTCACACAACCGGCCAGGTGCTTGTACTCATCACGGAAACTCTATAATTCTTTCCTTCACAACGCCCCCTTGCCGTTCCATATCAAGTTCCATCATCTCCTTCTATACCTCCTGAACCGCCGAACACAACGCCATCATCCGGCAGCTGCGAAGCCAGTCGGACCTCTTCTCGCCAGTCGGTCTCTACTCCCAGCGCCGTCTCAGAAGCCCCTCTTCCACCCGTACTCTCTAAGGAACCGGAGGTTGTTTCTGACGAAGGATCAAGTCGACGGCGCTTGGACCCCAACTTTTCGTCCAGGCGCAGATCGTGGCCGCTGGAAAGCACGAAAGACGAGGGCAAGGAAGTACAGCACCACAACAAAAGAGGTCAAACCAATGAAAGTGCCACAGGTGCCCAAAATAGCAGGCCGGAAGCAGACATATTTCTGTACGGTAGATATATATATGGTGTTCCGCTGTCAGTTGCTTCCCGCGCACACACGCAACCAGAGTGGCGACGGGCGCGCGGTCGGTGGGGCGGGCGGGATCATCGGAAATACCGCGGAAGAGATTAGGCATTTGTGGCATAGCAACATGTCCGTCAACACGGCACGTGGTCCTGATTGCCATAAAGAAGAGAAGTGTTGTGGAGAGAGGCGACTTTTGAGCTGTGGATGTGCCACTGTCTAAGCACCCTACAACGAACAGGCTGGGAAGGGGTCGGTGCGAGACGACATGCTTGGGCAGCGCAGGACCAACCGAAGAGACGGGAGAACACAGAACACCCAGCCGCGGTACCACTCTGCGCGGAAGGTACACTAGAACGCTGTTTCTTCCCATGACTACTGCACAACGACTACTGCTTCACTTTGCTTCGGCATGATATTTTACTCCTTTCTCGCAAGAACAAGGCTTTGTACACCACACGCACACCCTTGTCTGCACGGTTAATCGATGTTGTCTAGGGAGTGTCGAACAGGCCAACATTGCCTCGCTCATACCTCGTTGTTCGGTAGTCCGCGAGCTTGAACGCGCCGGCGAGCGTTGACAACCCTCGCCCTGCTCCGATGATTGCTGCCCCCGCGATCATGGCTGCCCTCAAGCGCCAACAAACGACACAGCGAAAAAAAACAAACATGCGGGTAAATGCATCCAAGTAAAAAGCGACCCCGGGGAATGAGGAGGGAGCAAGTGAGGGGCGGTCCTGAGATAAGGGGGGTGACACAGTGTTGTCGGATGACGACCGCAATACAAGCCACCACGCCATCCACAGCTCTACGGGCTGGTAAGCCCAGCTGCCGAGAAGAAGGCAAGGGCAATCACACACTGGTGAAACCATTCCCCTAGCGAGGAACAGTGCACATGTATGGTGATACCCTTCTAAAACCGCGCTGCAGGAAAGCATTGTTCCTGCAGGAACGATATGTTGCCAGTCGTGTTGGTCCGCCTTTGGATGCGAGCGTTTACTGTTGCATGTGTGGCGAGTCCACGGACAGTTTTCAAATCGCCGCTGTGTTATTTTCGCGGTCACAACTTCCGTGCTGCCACCGCCATAACAAAACGATTGTTGCGCGAAACAGTCGAGAACGCCCTTCGACTCCCTCGGCGGGCGCTTGATTTGCGAGAGACTTGAGGTAGCCTTTTCACATTACCACACAGCACAAGAAGATGCATGATCGCAAGAGCGATAGACCCTAACGCAGAATGCGAGGGAGCGTTGAGGAAAATCGACATTCGCGGGAGCCCTCTGTCTCCGCGGCGTCCCCTAGCCACCGGCATCAGATAATACGCAAGCGACCTTCAAAGTGGCGGCACCGGACAGGATTCTTCATAATAGATCGTCTCAAGTCTTCCGAGGGCTTCACGGTTGCACCATGTTTGCCATCGCTAAATTTACCTTCAGGGACACACTTCTCCTCCCTTGTCGGTGTGCCGTGGCATCTCGCTGTTCGTGCGGAATTGCGGAACCGCTGCTCCGGTCGAGGGAAAGGTAGCACTATAATAGTACGACTGCCTACGCGACGATATCAAAACATTTTCTGACGGCTTTCAACCCTACTTAGCACGGGCCGTCCGAGCACACGTTGATGTGTACCTCCTGCGGAAATCGCCGTGCATCGCAATACCGCCGGTCTATGGCAAACGTGGGATCGACGAAAGGCATCTTTACACGTCTCGGTGACAAGCCATATCTCGCGGACGCTCAGCACCGAGGACTCACGCCAGCCGCCCCATTTCAGCTCGGCAGTCAATCCGAGCTAACGATGCGACGCGGGCACCGAACTGATGATCCTGTCAACCCGTCGGTCAGACGCGGAGAATTCTGCATCTTGTGCAGTTGGGCGGCGCCAATCGCAGCTTCGCTATATTTTTATTCGCCCTCACATCTCTCGTTGGCTACAACATATCTTTGAGGACGAACGTCTTGTCACGTTATCTTAGCTGCAATGTGACTCTTGTCTTTCTTCCTCAAATCCTTGCGACGTCGTCGAGACGATCTCGATGGGACTGGGGACGGGAGACCTGTACGCCTCGAAGTGATTTTTCTTTGGCCCATACGCGCACCGGTTACCATTTCTGCTTCAACCCGAAACCCTTGCCGGCCAAAAACAAAATGGCAAGCTTCAGACAGAAAACGCCCTCACACATGCACAATGACTTGAAGCGTTGAGGAAACAGCAGCACAAAACAGTGCTCGACCCAGCGTGTCAACGCCAGCATCAGGTTGAGCACAAACCCTGGCCGCTGGGTGTAACAAGAGGACAAGAGGCAAAGCAGCACTTCATAAACTTCTGTGTCGGCAACACGATCAAGTAGACAAGCAGCATGCGTCAGATCAGTTATCGGCCCGAGGATGGTGCTAGGCAGGGGAAATACCCAGAGCGGCGCGAGAACGACAGAATCGCGACGGGACCGCCTTATCGATCCCCTTTTGCCTGGGTACAATCCCTTGAACCCATACCGAAAACTCGGAGCATGTTGTTTATTTACTCGACAGAGCACAGAGCATGTCATGTGGTAGGAGCTGCTCGAGGTAAATTCTGATGCCACAGCAGTAGCGCTCTCTGTGTCGGAGAGCTCTGCTCCCCGTCCGTCCAGTACATCATACAACATATGAACATACACACCGCGCGCAGTGTTGTACTCAGTGCCCTCGCAAACCAAACTAACCGGTCCTTGGTAAAGAACACCGAGATATCAACCTTGCAAACCGCAAGCTTTGCTCGAAAATGGCGTGCAGTGGCTTCGCTCGAAAATGGCCGGTAGGGTTGAGGTAAGGGTTACGGTCAGAGCTGCTGTTGTGGGTTAGGGAAGTTTTGCAACCCTTCACTTGCGTAAACCGATAATCCTGCCATTGTCCCCAAGCTCATATTTTGCAATCCTATACCAATGTTCGCTGTCCTTCGGCCATCATTTGCATGCGCCATTTACGTGTTGTCCCCTACAACGCACCTATTGAGTCTACTCTGTAGGGCTGGGGAAGGTCGCGCCGAACTGCTGCTGCTGTGCTCGCACGTCTCGACACAGTTTCTCAATGGCATTTTTTGCGACAATGCTCGGCTACTTGACGCTCGCTTTCCTCAACATTGCATCTGTCCCACCTGCTCCTACCGCCAGCGCTTCACTCTCCAACGCCAGCTGAAGTTCTCGCCGGCCAGAGCATGATCGCCGGCGATGTGCACCGCAGCTACCAGCAGGCAGACAGGAGAAGAAGGGCCGTGTGGGCGCTATCTCTACATGTGCGCCGCGGCTGCTCAGGGCTCGAGGTGGGTAGACGTGAAAGGCGTTCGCGACGTCAAAGAGCTGACCTGTAGCCAAGGCCGCCAAGAAAAATGGCTTCCTCTTCATGTTCTCCGTTCAGGATGTGGCCAGATATAATTGTAGCCGGCACGGCGTTGAATCGGCGGGACTGTCGGGGCCGGGGATGAATGCGTCCATCATTTTATGGATGGAGGCTTTACGACTGGCGGCGAGACCCGCCCTCCTGTCCGGGGTCCGGGACAGAGGACAGAGAGGAGATTGAGTGTGGTGCCACCGGTGCCGAACAAGCAGAGGGCACACGCGATAGCCATGGAAGGCACGGATGAAGACAAAGGCGCAGGCGAGGGGTTTCTTTCAGAGGAGGTAGGCACCATGGGCCCGCTGAGTTTTCTGCGTGACTGGTATATTTGCTTTGTAAGGTCAAGTTCAACCTGCCGGCACGTAGCCTATATGTTGCGCGCACTGCTTTCTGTTCGGTGCTTTGTACTTCGTACATAGGCACGGCTAGTGCACTGGCAAAGCTTGTGGGGCTCCTGCTGTAGCCCTCATGGCGGCCTCGTGTATTCCCAGCGGCACGAATCTTCTACCACGTGTATCTCGTCTTAAGAAATGGTCAGGTTCACAGCGTTTGATGCTCCGCGCTTGGCATGAGGTTGGCGGCCCTCCCTTACTGTTGATGGTCGCCTCCAATCGGGAAGGCGAAGAGTCCCTAAGCTTGTTGCGGCCATGTTGTCGTTCATGGTTGCTTCTTGCCAACTTTGCGTACATACTTTTGCGACATCACTCACAAGTATGCATTCGTCGTGTGCCGGTTGGCTGAATGTTTGACGGCGTCGTCCGAAAAAGCATTGGCCCGTTTGGAACGTTTCTCCCCAAGGCCTCTGGTATTATCCGGGGAGGACGTGGTATGCGTATGACAATTATTTTCTTTTCATCCTCTAGACCATGTTCACAACCTCGGATGACTTGGTGTTCAAGGCCTCTGGTCCACTGGGGTGACCAAAAGAGCTGCTTCGTTTTGGTACACATGCCCGACGTAATGCATATGTAGTCTACTGTACCGGTGCGTATTGTAGCTTGGACGACTGCGGCCTACCGTTCGTTGGTAGGATGTTTGTGAGTATCAAGCCGACACTTCTTCAGATTGGTTTGGAAATGTCATATTGGTTCGGAAATGTCATCGACGCGCGTTGTGTGAAGAAGGCGACAATCGCGTGCACGGCCTCCTCGCAAGGACCAAACGCAGCTCCAATAGCAGTCGAGTTGTCTGCTACATTGCTCTCAAGATTCTAATGACTTGCCTTCACCTCGGTGTTAAGAATCCACGCGACACAAAGAAAGCGGAAGCACCGCGCGCGCTGGAGCGCGTGCTCCGGCTCCGGCTGCGAGCAGCGGACTGCCAAGACCTGCCCTCACGAACATCTGCATTCCCCTCTTCCTGCCCTTGTTGAACGGCGCACAGCAACGTGAGCACTTCAACGAGAAAGGCTACCTGGTTCTGCCCGATTGGTGGTCGAAACAGGTGGGAAATCAAATACTCCGCCGGTGGGCGTGAATCGAAAACGCCAGGCAGCGAGTTGAAACCCTTGCGACATGCCTTCCGTACGCATTCCTCGCAGTACAACGTACGCGGAGAGCCCCCCTCGGCAAGAACCCGTGACACCTTGACGGGTTGAAGTTGTGTGGCATCCTCACGAAAACCTGTCCGAAATCACCCCCCCAACCGGGTATGTTTTATCTCTCGATGAAACACCAGGTGCGATCACCCTGTTGAGCCCATGTACCCGCCCTCCTTGCCTTGCCCTGCCCCCCCCGGTTCCCTGAACAGGAATGCGAAGAGATCAGGGAGCGCGTACAGCAGGTCGTGCATAACATGGATCTTGACGAGGCCAGAACTATCTTCTCCACCGAGTGAGAACCACGTATTTTTTCGGGCAGATACAACAGCGAAAAGCCTTTCTCTTTGAACGGGCACGCAGAAAGGCCGAATCTGTCTGTTTTTTCTGATCGCATGAACAAGGACTGATAACTCGCAATCGTATCGATACAGCACCGCGTACATCGTGACTATGTGACAGGTATCGGCGCTGCAGAGTACAGTCGGGGCCCCTCTACAGTGCGGGTGCCCGGTATAGTGCGGGTGGAATCGGGTGGCACAGATGAAATAATCAAGACGGTTGAGACGTTGAAAAGTGCCCGCTAGAGTGCCGGTGAAAGCGTTTGGTACATACCCGCGCTATAGAGGGCCTCCAAGTGGAGTGAGTGCAACCGGCCGACGGGCCCATGCTGTCTTAGCCTCCGGGCCGTCTTCGTTTGCGGCCCATCTTGTTTCACAGGCATCTGAGGTACTGCTCCCTGCTTGGTCCACTCCGATCTTCACAGTTGCACAATACCTTGGCTGACACTACCCGACACCAAATGCATATTCGCCTCCGCACATCCTCCCCACCCACCCCGACTGCCGCTGGACTTTCGTCTGTGCCCGTCCCTGTCCTTTGATGCTCCCTTCCCAACCCTCCCTTCTGTGTTTTTGTCCGTGTTTGCTTGTCCGGCTCTGTGGCATTTGCAACACCCTAGCGAAAGCAAGCATGCAGAGGATGCGTACTTCCTCGGCAGCGGAGACAAGGTGTGTTCCTCTCGACAGTACAACTCTGTGTACCCGTGGTAGCAGTTTCACCAAGCTATGTATGGCAATCCCACGTCGAAGTCAGACTTTGGTGTCGCTATTGCCTTTACCACATGAATCGTTCTGACCTGCACGCAGAAATGCCTTTTATGTGCTCTCTCCAATGTCGAGGAAAACTGTTACAACGTAGTCAGGCACAGTTTACCATAGGTGCGACTGCGGCAACTAGCCTTCCGTAGACATAACACAGAAAGAAGAGATGGTACTCAGCAGAGAACATGAGCACAGAGTTGTAGCGGAGATAATTTGGCAGGCGAGACTGTAGTTGTTTTATTGTTCCGAACCCCGAAATTCCGGTACTCGGGCCATTACTCCGGAGACCCTCGGAACCTGCTGTGTTTTTGCTGCTTGTTTCTTGTTTTTGTTTTGTTGTTGAGATGAGACACAAGCGCGCCTTCGCCCCTTGTGCTCACTCTCATCTAGCACCCATCAAAGCCTGACCAGGGAGTCAGTTGATAAGAAAATCTATCTACATTTCTCTTTCCAGAGCTCGCTCGGGCCTACCGATCTCACAGCAGTGTAGACCAACCTCTGTGATAGAGCGGTGACAGCAGTGTAACCTCTGTGGTAGACTACAAAGTCTACGAGCTACAGCAGCACCGCCACCTCCGCTGCTGCAGGACGCCACATTCTGTGAGGTTATGAGCCTCGCTTTACGCGAACACTAGGAGCTGCGAACGTCACGACGGAGGTCAAGACATCCTACTGCTGTGGACTACAACATCCGTCTGTGGACTTCGAGCGGAAATCTGGATTCGGAGATTTGGGAGATCATCAACGGTCAGCGGAAACGAAAGTGAGCGCACTACTTGGTCATCTACACCAAGGGGCTGAGAGTTCATTATACACACACGTTACCACTGCTGCAACAGCAGTAGTGGGTACCTCTGTGGTGAACAAACAGCAAAGTGTTGCGCGGGAAGCCTCGATTTAGACATTGAGCAAATACTTCTGCGGCGGAGACAGGAGGGAAGACTGTATCAACAGCGAAAGTCGACCGGGAACCGTAGTCCTATTCACCGATTCCCTAAGTGAGGAAAGGGTATCAGGAGCGGGGTCGCAAATTGGCCTACAACCGGAGTTCTATTCACCGATTTTCTATCTAGGTGAGAAAAGGGTTTCAGAAGCGGGGTCACGAATCGGCAACCGGAGTCCTCTATATCAATAGAAGGAGCGGGGCTGGAAAAATCTCAGCGACAGATAGCTGAGTAATACACCAACAAAAATATTAAAGACGAGATCATCAGGATAAAACCAGAAATGGAAGCAAAATCGGAAACTGGAGGCGGAGGCAGCATCTGGAGTGATGGATCCACAAACCTGGCCAACGTCATCAGAGGACTCCCCAAGTTCGATGGAACGAAACCAGAGGACTTCAACGACTGGATGAAGAAATTGGGTGTAGTCGTCGGCGTTACTCGGAGGGACATCATGCCACTTCTCAAGGGAATGCGCAGGCCTGATCCCTCGGACACCAACTTCGCCGCATACGAGAGAGCAAACGAAGACCTGTACGCAATCCTATTCTGCCTCGTCGAACTGCCGGCTGCACTAACCGTACACAAGCACGAAGACGACACCGGCCTAAGCGGCGACGGGCAGGCAGCATTCGCGGAACTGAAGGCCAACTACAATCGAGTGACAGATGAAGTGATCAGGGCTAAACTGGACGACCTGGAAAGGACGGTCATGGAGCCAGGAGAGAACCCGGACGATTTTTTCAACAAGAAACACCGCCTCCGCTCTCAACTAGAGAAAATGGGGGAAACCATCTCCGATCGCCGCTTCAAGGACATCTGTGTGCAAGGTTTCTCCGAGGACTACAAGGACATCAAGATGATGGTTTTCCGCGACCCATCATTCGACGTACAACAGATGCAAGCCACCATGCGCAACATCTTCCTTGACGAGCAAATGCGCAAGAGAACCAAGGGCCAAATCGCTGGCCGCGGATTCGCCATGGCTACCAAGACATCTGGCCCCATCTGCTTCGAGTGCAACGAACCGGGACATGTCAGGAGGAACTGTCCCAATCGCCAGCGGGAGGGCCATAGGGCAAAGAAGACGAAGCCTGCGGGAGCAACCAAGTGGTGCTCCGTCCATAACACCACTACACACTCCGACGAAGAGTGTTACAACCAAGGAGCCAAGCGACCAGAACGCACGGGCAAGGCCTTTTCTGCATGCACACACTGCGTGCACTGCTCAACCCAGTCAAGAGACATACAAGCCAAGCCTACCACAACAGAAATTCCCAAAGAAACAGAGAAGACCGAACAGGCAGAGATCGACTTCTCTTACGACGAAGATGCATTCAAGGGTGGATTCATGTACCATGCTACATGCAGCAAGGGAAGCGGACGCACTTTCACGACAACTGCAACTGGGACTTCCGCGCTGGTGGATTCTGGAGCTTCTGAAACCATGTTCGACGACCGCCTCATCCCGAATGGACGTCTCGAAGAAGAACGCCCGACGCCCAAGATCATCGACGTTGCAGGAGAAAGCCAACTACGAGGCACTACCACTGGGATCCTACACTGCACCATCAAAGACGACAAAGAACAGCAACTACCCGTCAAACTACAAGGTCTCATCGTGCCAGGACTAGGCCGGAACATCTTCGCACCAACGGCCCTTCTCAAGAAGGGCCTCCGATGTGTCCTGGAAGACAAGACCCCACACCTCACCATCGGCGGAGAAGTCGTCGTTCCTCTGAAACAAGAGACTCAAGACCAAGGCATGTGCACCCTCGCCATCACATTCAAGGGCGATCCAGCGTCGACAAGCAAGACACCCCCGAACAACCAAGAACCAGGGCGGAAGCCGAAGTTCGGAAAACCAGAAGCGGTACAGATCGATCACACTCCGCACGCGACATGCTCAGTGGCGATGAGCGTGAGCGCCGACCTCTGGCACCGGCGCCTCGGCCACATCAATCCAAGTGCTATGGAGATTTTGCGGCGCAACCCCGCCACAGGTGTGAAATATGACGGACCTGTATCCCCGTGCGACAACTGCCAAATCACGAAGCACAAGAAGGCTCCCGTCCCGAAGAAGACCAGCCGTGTCCTGACCAAACCAGGCCAACTCGTCCAGTTCGACAACATGGGACCAATCGACCCGCCTGCGAAGTACAACGGACGCACCTACTCCTATGTCGCCAAAGCGACCGACGTCTTCACCAGAATGCGGGAAGTGTACCTACTGCGCGACAGGACCGAAACCACGCAAGCTCTGCACGCCTACAACATGCAAGTAGCATCTGAAGGCTACCGCATCGAGGTTCTACGTTGTGACAAAGGCGGAGAGAACACTGGGGAAGAAATGCGCAACTACTGTAGGGAGTCTGCGATCAAGCTGGAATTCGCCGCGACCAACACGCCCCAAGAAATCGGAGTGTCAGAAAGGGATGGCCAGACACTTGCGGCTGTGACTCGAGCTCTACTGCGCGATGGAGACTTCCCAAAACACATGTGGGGGGAGCTCATGATGACTGCAGCATACCTGACCAACAGGACCCCACACGCGGCGCTAGGGGGAGCCACGCCGTATTCCAAGATGTACAACACAACCCCGGACCTTTCTCGACTTCGTGCCGTCGGCGCCCGCGCATTCGTTCATCACGAGCGATACAAGAAGAAGCTAGACGACCGGACCTTTGAAGGCAAGCTCTGCGGTTACGGACCTGGCAGCAAGACGTACCGGATCTACGTGGAGGGCAAAGACAAGGTCTACGAGAGCCGGAACGTGACTTTCATCGAGACTCCACCCAACACCATCCCCCCTCACCGGTGGGACGACCGTCTCGGATATGAACAGGACGTGATGAACTTCACGTCATTGCTCGGACGCCGTACCTCTACGGGCGACGAAGACAACAAAGTGGACTACGGAACACAATCAGAGCTCCTGCTGCACGAGATGCGCAACATGCAGCAAGACAACATCAGCCGAGCAGAACTTCGCCAAAACAACGCGGGCATGGATTCCGACAACTACTTTGCTGCTGGGGGAGCTGACAGCAACAACAACCCGCGGACTACGACACCATCCAGGACATGGCAGGACACGACACTCGAATCACCCACGACGCCAACAGACACGGACTCCGCTTCGCCAGCCCCCATCTCAATGCGTCGATTAACGGTGACCCGTCCTGCCACGCGCACTCACCAACCCACAGATGACCCTATCGACCCTTCATGCATCCCGAAATCTCTGGAAGTGAACATGAACGACAGAGGCCGCTCTGCCATGGCTGTCAGCCACCCCGACCCACTGGAGCTCACCGAGGATCAACTACTCGATCTCACCCACCAAGCGCAGCAACGATGCCCTACTGACGCGGCGGATTTTGCTCACCTGGATGAAGACCCCTTCGCCGAAGTCCGGGCGTATGCTTACGCCACGGGCACCTCGAGCAAAGGGTTCTTGGGGGAGACAAACCAAGAGATCAAAACTCCGAGCACGTACACCGAAGCCATGAACTCACCACAACGCGAGCAGTGGAAGAGCGCTATCGACACCGAGATGGGTAATCTCGCCAAGCACAAAGTCTTTAAGAAAGTACGCATCAGCCTGGTACCGAAGGATGAGGACATCTTCGACACACGCTTCGTGTTCAAGATCAAGGCCGACAGCCGCTTCAAGGCCCGCTTAGTCGCGGGGGGACACCGCCAACGGGCAGGACGACACTTCGGAAGGAACTACGCTCCAGTAACCCGATTGGGTAGCATCCGCATGCTATTCGCCATCGCTTGCGAACACGGATGGGAGGTGTACCAATTGGACGTGGTAGCTGCATTCCTGAACGCGTACACCGACAGAGACGTCTACGTCAGGCCGGCGCCAGGCGACGAGGAGAGGGACCCTACGACAGGTGAAATGATGGTCTACAAACTGGAGAAAAGTCTGTACGGCCTGTCACAGTCCCCGTCACTGTGGAACGACGCCATCAATGACAGACTCATCATCTTCGGCTGGCAGCGCACTCGCTCTGACCCCTGTGTCTACATCTTCGTAAGCGGGGACGAACTCACAATCCTAACGATCTACGTCGATGACATCCTCATCACGGGCGGAAACAAGGAGATCGTAAGCAGCAAAAAGAAGGAACTCATGGACAGCTTCGAAATGACAGACATGGGAGAGGTCAAGCGCGTAATCGGCATCGAAGTGCAGCGGGACTACGAACATGGCACACTAGCCATATCGCAAGGACCCTACGCGAGAGATATCCTACAGCGATACGGAATGGAACAGGCAAACCCGGTCAGCACCCCCGGGTATGGAGCAGAACTATCAACCGAGCAGCCACAAGACCAACTACTCGGACCCGAGGACAAGCAGAGATTCCAGGCCATCACCGGGAGTCTCCTGTACCTTGCCCAATGCACCCGCTACGATCTGTCATACGCAGTGCACCAACTGACACGGGCATGCGCAAACCCAGCACAGGTCCACATGGCTGCGGCCAAGCACCTACTACGGTACCTACGCGGAACGCCGGACCTGCCGATCGTGTACAAGAAGGGGCAGTTCAGACTCTCGTGCTTCACTGACTCGTCATTTGGAGCCAACCCAGACAACGGCAGGTCTACCACCGGATACCTGTTCTTCCTAGGAGGGGGACTGATCAGCTACGGAGCCAAGGCACAGACTCTCGCAGCACAGAACACCGTGGAGGCCGAGCTTCAAGCGCTGAGCTTCAGTGCTCGCGAGGCAGTCTACATCTCCAACTTCATGACGGAAATCGGATTCAAGACCTTTCGATCGGTACCCATCAACAGCGACAGCACCGGAGCATTGACTGTGGCCAGCAACGCGATGTTCAGCTCTAGAACCAAGCACATCGCGCTCCGGTTCTTCTTCCTCAGGGAACTCACGAAGGGGCACCGGATCACTCTTCACCACCAACCTAGTGCCACGATGTTGGCGGACATCGCGACGAAACATCTCCCGAAGCAGCGATTCGCCACCATCATGCAACTCATCAAGGACTACAAGTGCTAGAAGATATTAAGCACAAGATCGCATAGTATGGTTGAATGTTTTGGACGCGTGTATTGCTCACAGGATGGATTCACTCATGTGGAGGTCGATATTCTTTGATATGGATTGGGAATCGAGGGGTCGCAAAAATGGCAGCGAAGTGAAGTTTTGGAACATCGGCTACTTGCCTCATCGAGGGGTCGTGTCGAGGAAAACTGTTACAACGTAGTCAGGCACAGTTTACCATAGGTGCGACTGCGGCAACTAGCCTTCCGTAGACATAATACAGAAAGAAGAGATGGTACTCAGCAGAGAACATGAGCACAGAGTTGTAGCGGAGATAATTTGGCAGGCGAGACTGTAGTTGTTTTATTGTTCCGAACCCCGAAATTCCGGTACTCGGGCCATTACTCCGGAGACCCTCGGAACCTGCTGTGTTTTTGCTGCTTGTTTTTTGTTTTTGTTTTGTTGTTGAGATGAGACACAAGCGCGCCTTCGCCCCTTGTGCTCACTCTCATCTAGCACCCATCAAAGCCTGACCAGGGAGTCAGTTGATAAGAAAATCTATCTACATTTCTCTTTCCAGAGCTCGCTCGGGCCTACCGATCTCACAGCAGTGTAGACCAACCTCTGTGATAGAGCGGTGACAGCAGTGTAACCTCTGTGGTAGACTACAAAGTCTACGAGCTACAGCAGCACCGCCACCTCCGCTGCTGCAGGACGCCACATTCTGTGATCCAAGACAATGAACACTGTTTCCGTAGTCCCCGGCCGGTCCAAACGACCAACACCTATCGCCGTACTGGTACCTTCCGACCCCTGCGTTGTTCTTCGGACAAGCAAAACTAACGCCACACCCGTGTTGAAAAATATTTTTTTCGAAACACCTCTCCTTGCTTGGGCGCGATTGACCGACATTTGTCCCCAGTTCTTGACGCGCGCCACATCATGTGTGTGTGTGTGTATCTTGTGTCAAGATCCGATTCTTCTGGGAGGCGGGCGCTTTCGACGACAAGGGGGAGTTCGTCCAAGATCGGTTGAAGAGCATCAACAAGGTGCAGCTAGCTGCTTCAGTGGTTGTTGTAAGTCAGCCGGTTCGAAAGACTCAGAAGCACGCGTTTTTTGGGCTCCTAAGTTGTTCTCGTTTTGCAACCCACCTGCTGTAGTCCTGCCCGAAAACGTTTTGTGTTTCCCTTCAGGCGCTTTACGCCCGATTCAGAGGACGGCTGCACGCGACTCGCTCGGACAGATTCTCCGTCGAGTGTGTCCCCGTTTGCAAGACCGCCGTTTCTCGTCGTGTCGACCCCCGACTGTTGTTTGTCCGTCTTCAGACACGTGTTTATTACATATATATTTATCTCAATAGGTATACCTGTAGCTTACCGCGTAGGTTAACCGGTGTCTGTTGCGTGACTGTTCGCAGATCGGACACGCCCTCCACGACTTGGATCCCGTCATGAAGAAGTACAGCTATGAGAAGCGAGTCGGACAGGTGAAGAGTGAATCCCCAACCAATGAAAATCCTCCCTTTTTACCACCAGTTCCGCTCCTTAACCACACCCCACCTCGCCCTGAACGATAGTGCGAGCAAGAACATGTCGACCAATTGGGCAGTATTCTCTGTAGAGGTTCTTCGAATGTCTTGGTTGGTTGTTCTTTTGACGGTCTTTGCCGGATGCCCTGTTCTCGCGCGCCCTGTTTAATTACACGGCAGGTTTCTCGCGACCTGGGGCTTTCGACGCCATTGGCGGTGCAATCCATGTACATCTTCAAGCAGCCGCGGATTGGCGGAGAGGTCACGCCGCACCAGGATGGGGCATTTCTCTACACCGTATGGTTCCATGTTATTTACAGTGTTTGAAGGAGTACTAACTGCCGCGTTCCTTATTTGTGTATGGGAAGTGCCGTACCACTCGTCTGCTGCATGCCAAATCTGGATTTTCTTTCCCTTGGCCGATGGGGAAAAAAATTGCGATTTTTGTTGGCAAGGGCTCGAGGTGGTTAAAGCCACGGCTGTATCTGTCTGCTGCAGCGGCGCAGCCTACCCGCACGCGCCACCGAGCAAACCGTTCAACCAATAATGGGCGTGTTCGTAAGGTCACATGGACACCCCCTATAATGCCTATTGTGTATTTCTCCTTATTTTCAGGAGCCCCAGTCTGTGGTGGGCTACTGGTGGGCGCTGGAGGACTGCACCTTGTCCAACGGGTGTCTGTGGGCCGTGCCAGGCTCTCACCGCCGGGTGGTGAAACGACGATTCAAGCGATCTCCAACGGTGATGCTTTTTGTTGTAAATAGTTGACGGCAAGGCCCTGACACCCGATTCTGTCAAGCATCCGGCGCTTGAGTAGCTAGGGACATTGTAGGACGTGATGCTGTCGATCTTGCTACCTTGGCCGCCGACTGTGCAAGACGACGCCATGACCATGGCCGTAAAAAATGCAGGCAAAGCGCATGTTTTTGGCTGCGTGTGATCCGTCAGACTGACACAAAAGCGGTGCTTTTGCTCTATTGTCCCCGCTCGGCTGCTCACGTGACAAATGTAAACCAGGGAGAGGGGTGCGAGTTTGAGCCGCCAGAGGCCGAGGCGTTCGACGTCGAGGGGGCGGTGCCGTTGGAGGTGGGAGACAAAGCAGCGCAGTGCGAGTAGGTTTAGGTAGTACCCAACTTTGGTCGGGTCCTCGATTACCACTACGAAAAACCTGGGCTTGGGGTCCGAAACTTCGGGGGTGGATCGTGTAGAGAGAAACTGCCTTTTTGTCTGGCTAGGATGACCAGCTCAAGGGTGCACCTTTCTTCCGTACCATACGATGCGGTCGTTTTGATTTCGCCCTCTTCGGCCCTTGGTAGTGTTGACACCGGCGGCGCGTGTGTGTCCCTAGGTGTACCCAGTTGATCGTGAAGAACGAGGCCAAGAGAGTTGGAAGCTCATCAGCGCTCGGAACCCCGGCCACTTGACAGCCGATTTGCTTTTTCGGAGCGTGTACACCAACCGGATTGGCAGCGGCGCCCGGACCCTTCCGCTCTGACCTCTCGCTCTCTCGCCGGTGATCTCGCCCGCCTCAGGTGAAAGCCGGCACCCTGATCCTCCTCCATCACTCCGTCGTCCACTACAGCGAGGCCAACACGTCGGAGAAGTCCAGACACGCCTACTCGATCCACGTCGTGGAGGGGAAGGAGGGATTTCGGTACCCCGAAGACAACTGGCTGCAGAGGCCCGGCGAAACGCCGTTTCAGGAACTGCCGTAGAGAGGAGAGCGGCCGCCCGATGGGCTGCGGCGGTCTGTAGGCGTGAAGAGATGGGGGTCTATCCCGCTTGGGAAGGCAGCGTCATTCGAACCCACCCCTGCGCTAGCGATGATTGCGGCCAAAGGCGATGGATGTTGATGCAGTCAATGCTACGCGCTGTGTCATGCACGTTTGTTAGAACGGCATTTTCGGAGAACTGCGTTGGTAAGGTATGTGGACCTGAGACCATACAACACGGAACGACTGGGGTGGGTGGCACGCATGTAGAGTGCGCTCGGCGAGTGCTCCCGACGATGCGAACGCTACTAGACAATTCCGGCTCTTTGTTCCACAAGCAAGCGTGGTGGCACCAACGCTGCAGGTCTGTGCCCCCCAAGGATGCACGATTAAAAACGGCATGCGGTTTATTGACACCCCAAACTAGTGGGCGGCAGCAGTCCCTGGGGAGTGACTGCGAGAAAGGCTGGTGAGAATGATTTCCATCGTCTTGAGAAAGTGTTGCTCCAAGCACGCATGCAAGGATGAGCGATATGGCTGCATAGACCATGTCCGTGGTTTGCCGTCAAGCAAGCGCGGCAATCTGTTCGCACGGTGGCTTGCGGTAACGCCATGGTGATCATCATCGTGATCCGTGGCTGCGGCGGTGTCCACCTCATAGCATTCCAAAACAACAGAGCCTGATGAGTGGGCGCATGCTGTTTACACAAGCACACAGAGATACGATGTGAGTGATTTGATGTCAGGCGTAGCTATTCGCACATTGTAGGCAACGAACAAAATATGGTTCCGGTATTGAATCTCTACGCGTTCTCCCTCTTGTGTTTTTCTTTCACGAAAAGAGCAAGACTTCCCTCAGTAGCGCGAACTTTCCGATCGCAAAATGCAAAGGGTTGTCGCAAGGATGCGCCAAGATTGAAAAGCAAGACACATACAACCAAGGGGCGCACAACGCGCCGACAGGAAGGCCTTGGCACGTTCCGTTTCTCAGACGCCGACAGAAATTTTCCGCACAATCCCACACGAGTGAGTTGGTACATTACATACCGCAGGAGAGGGTCCAACCCCCCTCGTATGTGACCCCGGTTGGGTCGGCTAGCTGGTAGAAGTGGAGGATAGGGGCCAGAGGGACAGACGACAGAGTCCAATGATGGGAGACAAAAAAAAAAAAAGTCCCAGGTCGCGTATGCGATGTGGGGAAACGGCACCACAACGCCTGCCGACACGCGCTTTGTTAGAAAGGCTTGCCCCATTAGACTATTCAGTCAGCGCTGACTTAGTAGTCTAATGGGGTAAGCCTTTCTAACAAAAGATATACGCTTAGCTCATTAGAATCCCTGCCCCTGCATCTTCCAAACATCCACCCACGGGAAAACAAAATACCGTCTACAGTTGACAAAAGGGAAATGCTATGTCTGCGCACACATTTACACAAGGCCCGTACACTACTCCGTACACCCTTCGGTAGGCCGCCCGGCCCCGCCATATTACACGGCCGTCACTGACCAACCAGTCTTTGCTGACGTGCGTCAATGAAGGAGTTTTGGCACGTCGGTTGCCTGACTTCAACGGAGCGTGCTCCCAGTTTCGCCCTCGCTCCTTCACCGCCGCCCCCCCCCCATGAGAACAAGACAAGGGGACCGTCAAACGAAGAGAGACTACGGCCGGGAGGGTCCAACCCCTGTAGCTCCACGGCACGCTACGCGTTCGGTTCCACACGACGTTTCAAACGATTTCAGAAAACATCTCGTAGGCTGTACTCAAGGCTTATTGCGACTCGGGAATGGCATGGCAAAAACACGCCTTCGAGCCGCAATGCAACCCCACGTTTCACGCGTAGGTGGGACGGTACCCGTCCTTGCTACTACTCTTGTGTACGTCTTTGCTCCGCTCGACCTGCTGCTGCTGCTGCCATGCGAGCTGCTGCAAAGGCTACCGCCGCTTCGCCTGTTGGGGGAGGGGCAGAGCAGTGGAAGAGCACGTGGGAAGGAACACTTTAAAAAGTGTACCTTCAATAGCGCATTTCAGCGGTTTCACTTGCGACAAGACCTGCTCATTTCGATATGGCGAACACATATATATTTTCACAGTTTTTCTCGACATGACCACAACCACAGGCCCAGAGGAATAAGACAGACTTGGCAGCAGCGCAGTCTGCTGATTCCTCAAGTGCGATGAGCGACCATAAAAACACAACAAGTGGTGTGTTTTGCACAGCACACGCCAAAGAGACAGCTAGGGGCGCCCGGCCGTGCTACCCTCAGCAAATGGGCGCTTTTCGTTTGGATTCTCGCAAGCTAGCCTTGCTTCGAACGCCACTTTCCTGTTGGTCGCACGTTGTCCAGCGCCGCGCGGAAGTCATCCTGCGAGATCCCCCGCATCTGCAGCGCCGGTCTCGTATCCCCCCCCTCCTCCGCTGATGGCCGTGCCGGCCCCAGGATGGCCCTCAAGATGGCGTCCCCTTGCGGGTGTCCCTCGGCCGCCGCCGCCGCCATCCTCCCCACATTCCTCGCCGCCCCCATGGTCCTTCTGCTGAGATCCACCACCGTCTCGCGGAGCACGGCGGCCGCGTCAAGATTCGCGGCGGGCCTTGTTCGACTGCTGTGCTCCCGGCGCGCGGCAGCCTCTTCTGCCTCCGCTGCCGCCGCCGCCGCGTTAGCCCGGGCCTGCGCCTGCGCGCGCTCCTGTCGCGCGTTCTCCCGAAGAGCGCGGGCAAACTCCCGAGCGGGTACCGTTTGGGCCGCCTGGAACAACGCGTCCAGATCGCTCCCGGAGAATCTGCGGAGCCCCGGACCCAATGATGAGACGGGGCCAGGCAACAGAGGGAAGGGAGGCGTTCACACGGGGGCAGAGGTCGGGCTTGATCAGCTACTCTGCAGGCCTGTATTTCGCCGACGCAATGGCTGTACATCACAACATGGTTAGATCCAAAGACGATCGCGTCAATGCTCCTTATCTTCGTGGTGGCGACCAAAGCACAACATGCCCGGCACTGCCCTTGGGAAAAACAACAAAAACTGTTTCCGCGACCGGGGTACGTTCATTTCGGAGTTGCTTATTTCGGGCAAAACATCCACCACAACAAAAAAAAAAACTGTGTGTCACCTTCCTCCCGTGGGACTCCGGATGGCGCGCCAAACACAAACCGAACGGTGTAGGTTGATTGGCGCGCTTATAGATGGGGACACCATCAAACACGTCAAGGGGCCCCCAGCAACGCTAACCACAGCAGCGATGTCCCAACTCCCCTTCCCTCAGAGAACGAATCAACAAGTAGCACCACTTTGGCCAAGCGCTCACCCCTCGGTTTGCGCCGCAACCCAGCCCAAGTCCACTCCTTCCGCAAGCCTGTACCTCCTGGCGATGAGCTGGAGGATCTGCTCCCGCTGGTCAGCAGTCTCGGGCAGACCGACGACGAACTGCCTGGGAAGTCGCCGGAGTATGGCGGGATCGATATCGAGCGGCCGGTTCGTAGTGCCCAGAACTATCACCGGACGGGATCGTTCTTTTGCAGAGAGGGAGACAGCATAGTCGGTTTCGATGCGGGAGAAGGGGGAGTCAGCGGGGCGACAGAGCCATTGTTACAAAGACACAAAGAAGGACTGCCGAACGAGCCTGCCCCTTCATGTGATGATTTACATCTGCGCCTCACTGTGCAGGCTCATGTTTCAACAAGGCGTCCTGTCATTTTGACACAAAATATGGTCTACGCTTGTGGTGGTGCAGGCGTTTTCACATTTTTTTTCCCTTTCGGAGGTGAGGACGTTCTTATGCAAACGCAAATCAAGTCACCCTTGTCTAAACACACAATCAAATTCATCAGCAGAATGAAATGTAAGGACGCACCCGTCAGGAGGCCATCCCACAGCGTCATGAATTCCGTCTTCACCCGTACAACATGGTCCTGCTCTACGACGTTGCGGGTCCTCATGAAGCAGTCGATTTCGTCGATGAAGATAATAGACGGAGCTAGCTTGTTGGCCAAGCTGCGAGTCAATTATTCAAGCGGTATGTACAAAGGGTATACAGGGGGGTCGATTCGGACAAGAGACACTTGTTGGCGCAATCATGATGATTCAACCACAACAGCAGCAGCAGCAGCGGCAACAGTAACAGCGCCGACGACGACCGTAACCAATTGACGCAGGGCACAAGTTCCTGCTGTGTTTGGCGGCGGCATTGCTGGGAACCGCGGTGAGGCCTGTGGTAAACGGGAGAAAATCGCACATGCAACGGAGCTCGGGAGCTGGCGAATCGGTTTGCAGACACCGACGGCTCCACCTGCAAACAAAAAGCACTTGAGGAATCCTGCCCGATATCCAATCCGAGTGAAAAAAGAGACAAGGGCGGCCAGCTGTGCGCATGCTGCTGGCGGAAACTCTATTTCCGCACCACAAAACCAAAACTCTTGCTTGACACCTGAAAATAGCTGAGACCATCTTCTCGCCCTCCCCGACCCACTTCTGCTGCACCGCCCCCATGCGCACGTTGATGAACGTCGCGCCCGACTCCTTAGCGATGGCCTGCTTTCAAGCAGCGCAGCCAGGGCGTGACCAGTGAAATGCGACATAGCCATAGCCAGGTGGCCGCCCTTCAACAAACGGAAACTCCACTTGCTTGTTATCAAAACAGACGGAGCAATCAGAAAGCGGTATGCATCTTCCATGCCTTTCATAGGAGCAGGGCCGAAACTGGTAGCGACTGTTGTGTGCAACCTGCAACTGCGAAGGTTGAAGGTGACCACCTGCGTTAGGTCGCTGTCGTCAGGCATGATGCATGCTGACGCAAGTAACCCTGCCAATGTCAACAACATGTGTCGTTACGGACTACGTGACTCGGGATTTGGTTGCGATTCGCCAAAAACTACAATACCAACGGAAACCTGCCTTGCAATAGGAACGAACTTCGTAGCGCTACTGTACGCACCCGGGCAAGCATCGTTTTCCCGGTTCCCGGCACTCCGCTAAAGAGAATGCCTCGCGGCGCGCCTACCCCCTGCAGCTGTGCTTCTCTCGAGCACGCCAAGGTCACCTGTGGAAAATAAGGGGGGCAAGACGTGGGTGTAATGAGCAGGGTCAACACACGCGCGTCAGAGTTGAGTGGGACGGATTGCGACCATTCCCCCCAACCGGGTGGGGAGGTGGGGGCTGCAAACGTGTGGTGCATGCCCACACCCGCACCACGCAAGTGCAGAGATCCTGGTGTTACGCTCACATCGTCCCCGAAACGTACCGCCACGATCAGGAAGTGGAAAACACGCAAAGCGCCGGATCAGAACGACTTTCCCCCTCTTCTCTGGTTGCTTCTGCTAGGCCAGGCATGGTCTCCCTGTGCGCACCGCTCCAGTCTCCGGGGAAAAATAAACTGCAACTGCCCCCTTGTCGTCATTCTTGACGGATGAAGGGTCAGGCTTGACCTCTCCCTTTTCGTGGTTCAAATCACCATCCTGCGCCTACAGTCACCCAAATCGTGCAAGACGAAGACCGGGCCAGACTCACAATATCCATGATCTCGTCTTTCAGGTCTCCAAGCCCCCCGATCATATCAAACGTCGTTTCCAGGTCGCTCGACGCGACGACGTCCTGCCGGTCCCGAAAACCAGGAGAAACAGGCAAAAAGACAGCGGCGGAGGGTGAGGAAAGACGTCCGACAACAGTAGTACATCGTAGTGGATGGTGTTGTAACCTGCGCTGGCCGAAGCGGCCAAATCTTTGCCAGCAGTTGGTAGGCATGGCGATTGTCACAGCATGTCCCTTAGGTTTCGGTCCAATCGTAATGAGTTGGTCCATCGAGTAAGAGGTGGTCTCTCGGGTGTACCGCGCGAGCCTAGTTTTAGGACCGACACATGGCTACCGAGCTTGTATGCAATCACATGCTATGTACCTTCCGCTGAAACTACACCAATCGTCTTCGCCGCCACGTATCATATTGTAGTCGTCCCTCACAAAGGGGTACAAGACGGATACAGTGCTGGGGTCGCTGTAGTGCAGGGGTGTGTCCAGAGACTTCACCTGCACTATTGCAGGCACCTGCAAAAATCAGCATTGTGCCTCAATAGTGCAGGTCCTGCACTATTGAGATGTTTGACTTCATGGCGTGGCGCTCAGACTTTACGGGGCTACCGGAGTACGAAATGAATCGAATTACAGTATTGCTGGGCCCTATTCTAGCGTGGGCGTGGGCAGACCGCCTCGCGACGCGTGTATGGTTCTCCCCTATCGCCCACACAGAGTTGTGCAAAAAATACTTGCATGTTGCACCGTCATTTTTTCCTGCCTCAGCACTAGTACTGTACTGCACACCATGAACTTGTCGCGCGAACCAACTCTTAACATTAATAATGTACGTAGAGTGGACGAAGCTAAATGTCAGTCCTCGTTGCCCTCCTTCGATGTTGCAGATGAAAAAAGACCAAACAAAACAAACAATAAAAAGAAACACAACAGGAAGCCCACTGCAAGAAAACAAACCACCACTCACTATTGCTACAGCTATACCCCCAACCCTCACTACATCGTGAAAAATTCTCCCATGTCTCCCTGGCGCACAGGCTTAGCGGAATGCGCTGCTGTCATCGCCATCTAAGCCGCAGATGCGGTGGCTTTCGGCGTCCTGAAACATGCTGCCGCAATTGCTGTGGAGCCGCCCGCCACATCCTCCCTGACAGATGTGGCCGTCAGGGGCTCGCGGCGTTATGACTTGCTGATGGCACAGTTCACCGTCAGCGCAAGGCATGGTGCGCCGCTGCGGAGAGATCTTCGTGTCCTTCAGCAGCACGTGTACCCTCGTTTCTGTGTTGCGACTGTCCGCTGTCGGTGTGTTTTTTTATTATTAGCATCGACCGCGCTAACTGGCTGACCAATGAAAAGACGTCAGTGCCAGCGGGTAATAAGCAAGGTGCCTGGAAGGGGGCCAAAATTCGAATAATGCGCAATGCGCTAAATGCGAATGCCAACACGACTCTCTCTACATATTCTTGAAAGTAGACACACATCTCAGCTTCGCAAATGCCCTCGCTCGAATCTCGGAAGCCACTGATGCAAAGAGCAGAGGACAGCAAAAGGGTTAATTTTTTGTGTGTGTGCGTCCAACCGGCCAATTGCGGGGCATACCGGTGCCCAACCTGCACTTGACGGTCTAATAGTGCAGGTCCTGCACTATTGAGGGCGCTGTCTGTGTCCAGAGGTTTTACCTGCACTATACCGGGCATCTGCACTATTCAACCTGCACTATAGCGACCCCACCACTGTATATCGTCCATAGTGGCGTCTGCTGCCGGGCGGACGACAAGTGTTGCGAGAACATCACCTAGGTACGGAGGTGCAGATAGAAATCAAGCATAGAAACCCTGGGGCGAGGACAACTTTTTCATGTCTTTCTCCGCCGTTTCAGTCCAGCATTCAGTACGACACCTCTTCTCTCCCCGTCTTCCTTCATCACCGATCTGCTCTGACATCACGTCACACGCTGCCGTCGTGTCCATCCCCGGCACGTCTGTCCTTTACGCCGCCAAAAAGCGGACACACAAATCGTTTCAGAATCGTGCACGCACAAAGGGCCTCTTATCATTCCGTCGGAAAAGACAACTGCCCTTCGTTACCCGCTCGTGTGCTACGTAAGCTGCTTTTGTGCGTTCATCTCTCGCCGGCACCGACACATGCGTGCTAATCTACATATAGGCGTTGCTGTTATACATCAACACGGTTTGTACCAAACGCGGGCTATTTAGTACTGTACCAGCCATACAAATAGCAGCAATACCCGCGAGATATGGGGTCCAAAACACATCCTTGTTGTGACAGAAACAAGCCATTATGAAGTACGGTATAATACAAGCCGCCACAGGAAGCTGCCGCGGCGGGGGCACCGACACACGTAGGCACCCGGTCCACGTAATGCTTCGCCGCATGTTCAAGCATCGCGATCAGAGTCTTAATATGCAGCGTAGAGGGTACAGGAACGGCCAATGCACCATAGGCGGCGAAGCAACAAGCAACCTTCAACCAATCGCCCTACAAGGGGTGCCAGTGATGCCTGTGTGAACGGTGGACGCTCGCTGCGAGGAAGCACCCACGTACAAGCCGGGTGTGCTCGAAACATCCTTTTTGGACAAGTGGTCTAAATACCGCAACGGAGAAGGAGCCCGGTGTGGGTGTCAATGCTGGGAGAAGCCAGCGAGGTGTTTTAACCTCGTGGGAGGGTTCCAGTGGTGCGATAGTACTGAAAGGTGATGCCTGGGGTACCTGAGCGACGGCCATCTCGTGCGCGTTGAAATGGAGCCTGTCCATCTCGATGTCAACCCGCGAGGGCAGCTTAGCCTTGAGAAAAATCCTCGTTGCTGCCTGATCCTCCCGCTGCTTGAGCTTCCCCAGGAACTGCGTCAACCTGACACTGGTATACACACAGCCGACAAAGACCGCCAGGCGGAGGGTTGCCTCTAACAGCACCGGCCTTAAGCTCTCGCTGCTGTGGTCGCTCTCGCCTCGGTGTGTGCTGCGGGTAGTAGTGTTGTGGCGGCCGCCACCTCGGGGGATGTACCCGTCTGCCGTGGCGGCCCGCCCGTCGGCGGCCACTGGCTGTCTCTGCAAGACGACTGGACCAAAGACATCCAAGAGAAGGTCCATGTGATTGAAACAGTCAGCCGAAGGCTCTCGCACCGGTGTGCAGCCTGAGCTGCCAGAGCAAGATGAGAGCGAGTCTGTCGGACCTTTTTGCGCGAGGCGGCGTCGTGGAACAGGAAGCAGGAAGCGCGGGGGGGAAGTGTTGCACACAGATGGGATGCACGGAGGGGGAGTGGGTGCACCGGGTAGGTGCTGGACAACAAACCAAAGACCAAAGACGCACAAGAAGAGCAGTTCAAGACACACACGTGAAGCACGACGCAACCGACACAATCAAGTTTTGCTTTCACCAGAGAGTGATTTATTTCTGCTTCTTCCCTGCTTCTCTGCAATGCTCGCAATGTGAGTGAGAGCCTCCGTATGCATATTCATCACGATCTGTTCTTTTGGCTTTCATTCTCTATCTGAAATCAAAGAAATGCGGGCCTATACTTTACATGCATGAGGCTTTCAAATCGACAATGGCGACGAGTAGGGCATGTGAGGGAAGAGCTGCGCTGAAGTTCACGGCCCCACAAGCTCACATAGGCGCTGCTTCACCGTTGTTGTGTGCTTGAAGCGTTTCAAAATCGGGCCGCACAGCAGAATCAACAATCCTGCTGAGCTCACCGATCTCGATGAGAGAAGGATGGTTTGCAAATCGCGGACCGATACGTACACATGTACATCGTGCAGTCTACCACACGTGCTAAATCTCAGACACTCACACTGCTGTGTACACAATCGGCCGCTGCGGACGGTAAATTTGCGATGGTAATTTCGTACCGGAGTTAGACTTTGGAAAACTGAGATATGCAGGGGTTTCCTTTTTCAGGACACTGCGATCCGTAATAATAACTTAGCACAGTTCACTGCTGTAGCCCGTGCAACGCGATGCCCCAAACTTTTTGTAGTGCATTCCTTGATTTGGTGCGACGCGGGTGGAAGAGCTCACAGGGTATTGTGCTAGAGGTGGAGGGCTGGGCCTTCTTTGCTTGCCTGAGAAAAGGGAATCAGGAAACAAACTCGGGTTCGTGTGTTCGCGTGTTTTTTATTTTATTTTTCTTAATATGACACAACGAGTCCATCTCTATCATAGATAAGAGTCAGAGACAGATTAACAATGGAATCATAGCGTCAAAAAAAACTTCCTGTATGCCTACGATTTCCCAGACAGCATATAGGGACATCTCCCCTGCGGATAACAGGCTCAACAAACCAGTTTGGTAGCTGTCTTGTGTGTCTCATATATGTTATGTTGGGAAGGTGCAGACGAAAGGTGTTGGGTACTGTTGGGTAGTCGGGCGTTTTGTGTGTCGCACCCTGTCAGTTGTAGGACATGCAATCTCCATCAGTTTACAAACGCATTTTCAGTTTGATTTGGTATGCGTATGTGCGGAGTATATGCGGCTGATGTGCGAGCACACGGGGGTGGTCTCACTGTTTTGTGTGTTCACGGGCATTTTTACGGAGGAACCCCGCTCGTGCCTCGCACTGCTGTGTCCTTTGCTCATCATTTAACATCGAATGCTGGTAAGAGTACTTCATCGTTGTTGTTCGGCCAGCCGGGGATTGACACCGCCGATTTGCTGTCCATGTCTGATGAACCATGGGCCTCTATTGTACTACTGGAGTATTGGCAATGAGAGGCCGTTGTTGTCGATCCCAAAACACCGAGCAAGAGAACCCGCCCGTTGAAACAAACACGGAAACGGGTTCTAGATTTTGTTCCTTGTTGTTGTCGTGATGTTATGTTGCCTCCCCCGTCGCGTCGACCGCCACTTCCGCGACCTTCCCCGACGATATCGCCGTTGCTGCCGTCATTGCCGCCTTCACCATCGGCGTTGAAATGACCAGTTGTCGCCGTGGTGTCCGTGTCCATGGCCACGGTTGCGACCAGGTTGTCGCTTGCCCGCACTGTCCTTTTCGTTACTTGTATGGAAGGCCTGCTCGGCCTTTCTGGTGATTGCGGTCGCCATTCCGGTGATCCTTCACCTGTTTCTAGGCTGGCGTGCTGCCATTCCATAGCACGAGTGATTCCCTCCTCGATCCAGGGTCCGCGCGGACTGCAAGGTCATTTTGTTATGGTTGTACTCGGGCCGCAGAGCGGAGAGGAAGAGTGAGGGACTAAGAGCCATCGGTGTTGATATTTACCTTTTCCTTGTGGCGGTCTGCAACTTGCTCCAACGCGATCAGCGACTCGCTTGATGTCGACATAGTGGTGCAGTTTGTTCAACAAACCGTCTCGGCTGCCTGTGATGCTGTGTCATATCCCCCGGCCACTTCATTTAGAGCCTTTTGTTGCCGTCAGGCATCCGGCGACGATATATTTCTCGGAGTCTTTCATTAGAGCCAAAGGCGGAAAGACTGCGGTGGATTTGTCCTTCTGGTGTAGCCAGTAATATTGCCTCCGGTTTTACGGCATCCCCGACAGGCACATGGTTCTCTGTGTCCCCTTCGACACATGGCTCTTTGTGTGACCGTATAGATCAAGTGTTTAGTAGCTTGAAAAATAGCTCCTCCATGTGTACTTCCCGTGGTAACGTACTGGTTCACACGTTGTTGCAAGAGGTTCCAGAAAAGCCGTCTGCTCGTCCGCTGCACCCACCAAGACCACGACCAATACCTATACAAAGACCACCACCAAAACCTATTGGCTGCAGGAATCTCACGTTGGGGCGATGAGCCCCAGATGTCCCCGCTGGCCGTTCCTGTCTCCGGGCCTCCTCCCGCATGGATCCTTGGTACTACTGGGCAGGTTCCCGGTCTGGTGTTGCCTCCCTCTTAGCTTCATGGTAGGGGCGGCGTGAAGCTCTCGTCTAGATGCGCCCCCCCCCCCCGTGACGACAGCCCCAACCTTGTGCTGCCGGACTCCCGTCCTTTTTTCTCTTTCCTAGGACGGCTCGCAGCAGGTTCTACAGCTCCTGCACCTTGCCCCAAGTCTCTTTATAGTAGATCGCTGCCCCCTCTCTGGCTCACGAGCATCGTCGGTGGAATCACCCCCAGCGTCGGTGTCACTCGTATTGAACGTGTTCCCTCGTGGGATGTACATACACATACGTGTTCGTGTCACCTTGTGTGTGTGGACGATTGGAGATTTTGCTGCACATTGTACCTCATTTTTTTGGGGTGGCTTAGCTGGCCAGTATTGATGAATCGCAAGTGATCCTGCACCAGTCACCCCCACTTCGAACACGCCGTTCAGCCCTGTTCGTATTTGGGGGGGAGGGGGGGGTACTCATAGTCGTGCATGCCGCACTGACCTCGCATCCCTACAAAGCCGGGACGGAGCACGCCGGGTTCTCACTGGACCAGGCTCTCACATCACCAAGCGCGAAGCGCCGTGAGATATTCGGCGAGTCGCATGAAGGGTGCGCTGCATCCTGCCAAGGGTTTTGGGCTCGTGTGCTTACTTCCTTGCGTACGGATGACAGCTGCATGTGACTTGATTTACTTTCTCGTGCTTTCACTTCCAGAGACAGTTGTAAGCACTGTGTAACTGCCTCGAGGGTGCTTGACCATTTTAACACAACGTGGTGCGATCATCCCCCTTGCGCGGAGTGAGGGTTCTCCACCCCGCACAACATGATCTACTCGACCACCATTATGGTTACCGCCAAAAAAAAAAAAACGGAGGTAAAAAAAGCCCCGGCAACCTGGTTGCCGAGCTCACGAAGTGAATTGGCTTGTTTTACGACGTCGTTGCCAAGCGACGAAAACCCAATCCCGATGGCAAACACCGATGGGGGGATTGGGGGTGCCCTTTCGGATCAACCATCCGACCCATGCAATGCCATAACTCCTGCCTGCAGTTGGGCTTCCCTTCGTGTGGCTTCGCGTAATGCGCACGTTTTCGTTTTATTTGCGACATTTTCTCCGATCGGAACCAAAATACGGCCGACTTTGAACGATGCAGCAACATGTGCGTACAACTCGTGACACAGCAAACACTGCCGCTTCCGGCTCGTCGTTGTGGGACAGCGTTTCGGTATGAACAAGAACCCCAATTGTGTATATGTTGTCCTCCGGATTGACATTTGCCTCCGTGTCGAACCTTCCTCAACAGAGCCAAGCCGAGCACGTGTCACACGGCAATGGCGTCAGCAGCAGCCCCGCTGGACGCAACAGGTAAACCCTTTCGAAGTGCAAACAGCTCCTTGCTCTGGTAGTAGCCGTGTTGGGTATGTATGTATTCCCACAGACGCCCGAAGAGGACCTTCAAAACAATGTGGCCTGCTTGGGGTCGTCAAGTGGTTGAACTCTTTTGTTTCGCTCTCTGTTTGACTCAATGTTCATGTCTCATGCCGGTGCAGAAGCACCTTACGATTTACGGTCAAGAGCATTCACGTGTACAATCCAATGTGCTGCTTATCGCCTTGGACAGGCTCGGCGGAGACAGATCGCGAAGTGCTCCTTCACTTTTTCCGATCAACGGGCGGGAACTGTTGGACACATCAAGAGGGCTGGGCGGAGAATGCGGACGACCTCGGCAGCTGGTACGGGGTCACGACCAACGCAGACGGTCGAGTGGTGAAGATGGAGCTACATGGGGAAAGAGATTATGTTAGCTTGTACACTGGCAATAATGTCATCGGTGAGACCTGAGAGCGATTTACACCAAGTTTGTATCGATCATTTCATGGGCTGCAGCACATCCGTTTTTCTCTCCAGGTTTCATGGACACTCAATAATAATGTACTGCGATCTGATTTTGGTCTATGTCTACAGCGTTCCAGAATAATGCAGGCGGTTGGTGTGGTTTCCACAAGTAATGCTCCGTTCGTTCACTAATGCCGCGTTTGATGAAAGCGGTTGTTGTAATCGTCTCCTAGGCGTACCTGGAGTGAATGGCCACGTACATTTTGCCCAACAATGGTCCTCGGGGGTTTATGTACTCTCTTCTCGTCGGGTAAGGTGTTTGAGTTGTTACGAGTGTGCACGTCGTTCGTTGCTGGAGTATGACTGAACGATTGCATGGTCGTGGCTTTTTGTTCTGGACGATGTGGGATCTTTTGGGGGTGTCATGAGTCATCGTCCTGTGATCCTTCCGTGTGAAGGTGTCACCATGCCTAGACCCCTGTAAGCTGATGATGGGCGATTGTTCCTCTGCACCCTTGGTGTTCTCTCTACTACTTCAGGGTGTTGTTATTTTCGGTTGCCAACTCGTTCTTTTGTCGTCTACCGCACATGTGCAAGCGTCACGCTGGTCTTGCAGTCGCGCCAATTCTTGCTGATACTGTGATCCGTGTATGGTGTTTTGTGTTAATGCTGGTGCTCTTTCCAGGTCCCGTACCGCGGGAGCTTGGTCGACTCGGTGCTCTTGAGGTGCTGCATCTTAGCGGCAACGAGCTCTCCGGTAAGCAAGACCAGTGTACGCATGTTGGGGTCACCGGTTGGCCCGCGTCCTTGGCGATTGTGAACCTCGTGTTTGGCCATCGCCAAAGAGCGTGCGGATATTGTCTTGAGGCGTTGTCGTTGGTTGTGTGTGACAGAGGCGGGGCGAGGTAGGTGTGGTATGTGGGCCTGGTGCTCCGGAGGCGCTTGGACAAACAACCTGATTCGTTGCCTCGAGTGGATGAGACTGCGCAAGACATTTTGGGCGCCTACGATAATTCTCTAGGGTGAAGTAGTCGCCAATCTTTCGACCTCACGATGCGTTATGTTGAGAAGAAGGGTGTCACAACATGAGTGTGAGGGGCCATTGACGAACTGTACGCAGATGCATGCGGTTGAATTGGCGGGAGGTACACAGTTGTGAACGATATTCCGACGTTTAGCGGGCTTATGTTTCTTGAGAGCATGGAAAAGGATGGCGCAGTAGTGGTGAAGGGCACGTGGCTGTCTCGTCCCTCATCATCTAGATTAGCACCTTGATGTGGAGATGCATAGCCCGAGCCAGGATGGGTAGGGTGAGTCTCTTTCGGCGATACGTGTGCAATCGCTAACGGGAACACCATGAAATGTGCAGGACCGGGGACCATTGGCTATGAGGCTCAGGTTCGTGTGGTGCAACCGACGTGTGCGCCTGTCGTCTTGCTTGCATGCAGGCGCGATTCCGTCGGAGTTGTGTCAGCTCGGGGGTATGCAGAAGCTGGACCTTTCGCATAACGGCCTAACTGGTGAGTTTACTTGCAAGCAAGTCTTGTTTTGATTGCTTGGTGCTTGGTGCTTTGAAAGCCATTCATTGGTTGGTTGGCGACGTGGACGTTCTGTTACTGCAGTTGCGATGGAGTATCCGGCAGCTGCTTTGTTGACCGGTGTATGGTTGTCGCCTACTGGGCTCATGGTGCAATACGAAAGTTGGCTGGTTGCGAAGTGTACCAAGAAGAGCGGCATGAGCCACCGAAGGCAAGGAAAACACTCCGAATCCAGTGGATGAACATGTCACAACGGGTGTACTCCGCCTCCTCCGGCATTTGGTGGTCGAGCCATGTCTAGGGCCGTCGTCCAATGCACACCTGGAGGAGGTCGTGAACCCGTCGATTCCGCTACGGCCATGCGGGGGCTCACATGTGAACGAACGAGTTCAAAAGGTCTTCTCATGCTCGTGGCGTAGTTGTGGGACGACTTGCGATGTCGTTGGAGTGTTGGGTGTGTTCGAGTTGTGGGCCTTTCTTTTGGAGGTGTCAAGCAGCCTAGCCTCCGGTGAAACGGATGATTCGTAACCTCGCTTCTGCCCCCCTTGTCGGTCTCTGTGTTGTTCAGAGAAGGTGGAGCGTATTCGGTTGCCAACTCGTTCATTTTGTCGTCTACCGTGCAAATGCAAGCGTCACGCTGGTCATGCAGCCGTTGCAGCCGTCAACTGTTGCTTATGCTGTGATCCATGTATGGCGGTGTGTTAATCTTGCTGGTGCTGTTTGCAGGTGCCATACCGCCGAAGCTTGGTCGACTCGGTGCCCTTGAGGTGCTGGATCTTGGCCACAACGAGCTGTCCGGTAAGCAAGACCAGTGTTTGTCTGGGTGACAGGTTGGGGTCACCGGTTGGCTCGCGTCCTTGGCTGTTGTAAACCTCGTGCTTGGCCAACGCCAAAGAGCGTGCGGATATTGCCTTGAGGCGTTGTTGGTGGGTGTGGAGAGTCATCGGGTGGTGCGTGACAGAGGCGTGGCGAGGTGGATGTGGTATGTGGGCCTGGTGATCCGGAGGCGCTTGGACAAACAACCTAATTCGTTGCCTCGAGTGGATGAGACTGAAGTATAGGTTATGTTTGATGGCTATGATATATGTCTAGGCTGGCGGGTTGTCGCCAACCTTTCGACGTCGAGATGCACTATGGTAAGAAGCAGGATGTCGCGGGGTGAGTGTGAGGTGCGATTGACGAACGGTGGGCAGATGCATGCGGTTGAATATGTTGCGCTTTGGCACTGATGTTTGCCTTGCTCGCCGCTTCGATGAGTCCGATTTCACGTGTGGACCGTGTTCGGTGAAACTCAAAACTCGAACTGTGTGACGGCCCTCGGGTCGAACGCCGAAGCAACCTAATTCGTTGCCTCGAGTGGATGAGACTGAAGTATAGGTTATGTTTGATGGCTATGATATATGTCTAGGCTGGCGGGTTGTCGCCAACCTTTCGACGTCGAGATGCACTATGGTAAGAAGCAGGATGTCGCGGGGTGAGTGTGAGGTGCGATTGACGAACGGTGGGCAGATGCATGCGGTTGAATATGTTGCGCTTTGGCACTGATGTTTGCCTTGCTCGCCGCTTCGATGAGTCCGATTTCACGTGTGGACCGTGTTCGGTGAAACTCAAAACTCGAGCTGTGTGACGGCCCTCGGGTCGAACGCCGAATTTGGCTGCTGATGCTGCTTGCCATGATCCCGCATGGCCGTGCTCCAGGTGGTTTTCTCTGAAGTTGGAGCCCATGGTCGTGGTCTAGTCGCTGGACGACTTGCGATGTTGTTGGAGTATCGGGTGTGGTCGTGTTGTGGGCGTTCCTTGTAGAAGTGTCACGAAACCTGACCTCCTGTAAGCGGATGATGGGCGATTGTTCCTGTACACCCTTCGTGTTCTCTCCCCTGCTTCAGAAGAGTCGGTGCACTTGGTTGTCCGATTTCATGGCTTCTACCGCACCCTTCACGCACAAAACTAGCGTTGCAGTCGTGTTAATTGTTGCTGGGGATCTTGTCCGGATATGTTGGAGTGTGTTGTTCTTGCTGGTGCTGTTTGCAGGTGCCATACCGCGGGAGCTGGGTCGACTTGGAGCTCTTGAAAAGCTGGATCTTAGCCACAACGAGCTCTCCGGTACGCAAGACCAGTGTTCTCATGGGTCACAGGTTGGGGTTACAGGTTGGCTCGCGTCAGTGGCGGTTGTAAACCTCGTGTTTGGCCAATGCGAAAGAGCGTGCGGACGTTTGTCTTGACGCGTTGTGGTTAGTTATGGTGAGTCGTCGGGTGGTGTGTGACAGAGGCGTGCCGAGAGGGATGTTGTATGCGGGCCTGGTGCTCCGGAGGGGCTTGGACAAGCAACCACCCTTTGCCTCGAGCGCATGGGATTGTGTAGGTTATGTCTGATGGCTATGTATGATGTGTCGAGGCTGACGAGTTGTTGCCAACATTTGGACGTCGAAGTGCATTATGGAAAGAAGGAGGGTGTCACGGCGTGTGTGTGAGGTATGATTGACGAACGGTGGGCAGATGCATGCAGTGGAATTTGTTTCCTACGGCACCGATGTTTTCGTAGCATGTTGGTCGCCACTTGGATGAGTCCGAGTTCGCGTTTGGACCGTTGTCGGTGAAACTTTAAACTCCGAAATCCGTGACGGCCCTTGAGTCGAACGCCAATATCGGCAGCTAATGTTGCTTGTCATGAACGTGCATGACCTTGTCCCAGGTGGTTTTTCTCTGAAGTTGGAGCCAATCATTTTCGTGTTATCTTCGGACGGGACGTGTACCGCCTTGGCACATGGCTAGACGAGATTGGTGTTGTCATTAAGTGTGTGTCGCGCACGGCCAGCGTTATCGAGAGGTACACAGTTGTGAACGCTATTCCGACGTTTAGCTGGCTTGCCTTTCTGGAGGCGTGGATAGTGGTGGCGATATCATGGGGAAGGGCGAGTGGCTCTCTCGTCTCTCATCATGTAGATAGGCACCTGTATGTGGAGATGCATAGCCAGGATGGGGTATATCTAGCTGGCCGACCGCTGTACAACCGTTCACGGACACGCCATGACAAGTGGAGGACAGAGAACCCTTTCAATGAGGGGCAGATTTTATGTGGTTCAAACGACTTGTGCGCCTGTGGTCTCGCTTGCATGCAGGCGCGATTCCATCGGAGCTGGGTCATCTCGGGGCGATGAAGCAGCTGAACCTTTGGAAGAACCGCCTGACCGGTCAGTTTTTTTGCAAGCCAGCCTTGATTAGTTGGTGCTTTCGCTGCCGTAGGTTGCCTTGTTGGCAACGTTGATTGTGTAGTCGTGGTATCCGGCAGCTGCTCTCTTGGCTGTCGAATTTGCTGTCGTCTACTGGTCTCATGGTACAACACGAAAGTTTGCTGTGTGCCAAGACGATGCCCGAGTCCGATGGATCCACATGTCACAACGGGTATTTTCTGCCCTTTCTGGCATTTGGGGTCGAGCCATGGGTAGGGCCTTCGTCC